TAGAGGGTGGGTAGAAATGTTGTTTTTATTCCCCCTTTTCCAAGAATCTTAGCTATTCTGTCCGTGATATTCTGAGGAAGACAAGTTGCGATTTTTTCCTTATCAGTCGTTATGTTATTCTCGTTGTGGTGGCTTTTAGGATGTATTGCTTTCTGGATTTCACTGTAGCTGTAGCTGTTTGCTTGTAGAGCTATCTGTAGGTGGTCTAATTCCACATGTAGATGTTCCCTGTCCGCGATAAGTTTAGCCTTGTTAGCCAGTGTTTCGATAACTGTCCTTTTTTGGGCTGATGGTGGTTGGGAGCAGCGCTCAGGTATCTATCTCTAGATAGACACCGTGAGCAAGTTGGCCTGTAGTAGTTCTCTTCACAATGAAGTCTAGGAACGCAATCCTTCCATCTCTCTTCTGTTCCTTTGTGAAGCGCATGTTTTAATGCTGCCTGTTCAGGTGATCTAAAAATTTGTTCAGCTTATCCTCTCCATGTGGCCAGACGACGAAAGTATCATCCATATATCGATACCAATGTCTCTAAAGCAGTCGTCTCAAACTCAAACTCCATGTACAAATTTGCGATTTGTGGACTAAGTGGGCTACCCATTGCTACCCCGTCGATTTGTTTGTAGAAATTTTGGTTCCATAGGAAGTAGCTGGACGTCAGGCACTGTTCGAATAGTGCGACTTCTTCATCCGGAAAACGCGTTCGTAGTAGTTCCAATGTATCCTTTAGTAGTACCTCCGTGAATAACGATTCTACATCGAAGCTGACTAGGATGTCAGAATCTTTCAATCTGATGTTGTTCAGTTTCTCGATGAAATGTTTTGAATTTCGAATATGTTCGGAGATTCCCACGTGCGGAGCCAACAAGGTGGTCAAATGTTTAGCCAAGTTGTATGTTGGTGAACCAATGGTACTCACTATTGGTCGTAGTGGTAATTCTGCTTTATGTATTTTTGACAATCCATATAGTCTTGGAGGGCGACTGTGGGAGGGTTGTAGCCGTTTAATGGTTTTCTCGTCCCAATTTGTTTTTTTCAATAATTTGATGATTTCAATTACTGTTGTTGGATTTCGCGGCAATACCTCGTACGTGTCTGGTGTTAACAAACTCCTCAGCTTATCCTCATATTCCGTTGAATCCAAGATAATTGTCGAGTTTCCTTTGTCAGCTAGAACTATTGTTATCTCTTTCATTGGTCGTAATTCCCGAAGTACTGCACGTTCTTCTTTTTGGAATTTTAGCTTTCCTTAGTATTCTACAGACGTCTTGTCGTACTTCCTCAACTTCAGGCTAATTTAGTTGCCGAAGCGATCCCTCCACGTTTTCGGAGTAATCGTAAAATTTGTTCTTTTGGCTAGAACCGACATGTCTGCTTAACTGAGAGTTACTTTGCTGCGATTTTTAACGATTTATGTGACGTCCAAGCATTAGATATTCTCTCGGAGCTTTTTTCCTTTTAATTTCCGTATCTAGCGGTCCCTTGCGTTGGTGTATTCCCTTTCTGCTGATTGTATCGCCATCGAATCGATTTTCCCCCACAACTTGTTATCCAGAATAGATCCAAGATACAGGTGTAATTCGTATAGCTTCCGTGAATTTAAATCAAATTCCCTTCGTGTGTTGTGTATTTGTTCTCATAATAAGAAAGACTAGTGAGTAGCTTGCTTTTCTTTCTCTATGAAACTGCATCAGTTACGACTCAGGACCTGCCCAGTCACCACTGAAGATGCCGTCAGCAAGGAACGGCGAAACGTTTGGAATTATTTATTTATTTTTTTATTTATTTATTAAGCTCTCGAAGCAAAAAAGGAAAAGCTGGAGATTTCCATGGAACGTGAAAATTCTCCTCAAGTCATATATCATTGGATGAAGTGAGAAGAAGAAATTCAACGTCATCGACGAGTTTTATCACTTTTCAAGTTTGCATCGATTGAGAATAACTAACAAATCATACATTATTGAAAAGTTCGCGAAGAAAGAAAGCAGATTATGCTCATCGAAGAACTTTCACAGAATTTTTTAGAAGAAATCGAAATACTTCATGCTATTTACAGTACCAAAGCAAAAATAGAGTAACAAATGAAGCAAAAATAGTCGCAGGTAATCTCAATGCCAAGCATTCTCCTGGGGCTGCCAACAAACTAACAAAAAAGGCATTTCCCTTCTTGCCAAAGTTATCGTCCTCAACCTTGCCGTTGAAGCACTCACAGATTCTACGTACCTCCCCGCCCCCAATTTCAAATCAATTTCCTGACATTCTTGAAATCTTCGTCTTAAAGAATGTCACTCTTTCTGTCGATGCCACCGTTTCGACGCTCTAAGCCCCGACCACCTTCCAGCACTAATAGAAGTCGGCCGCGCAACCCTCAACTCCCCAAACCTGACAACTTCCCTAGACTCCACTACATTTTCCAAACATCCTCCCTTAAGTACATTTCAATTCATACAATAGCGGAAGTCGACAAAACTGTCAATTTCCTTTCACACGAGACCTCCCGCCCCTCCTCCTACACAAAGAAACACCATCCGCAGATGTTCTTGCCATTATCAAGAGGAAAAACAGAACCCTCCGTCTATCGCAAAAACACCGTGATCCCGCACACCGAGCCAAGGTAAACACCCTCCAACGAGAACTTAAAACTCGTCTAACCGAATTTCGTAGCGCCACCTTCAACGATTATATCGCTCAGGCGGGAACACATCCCAAAACACTCTCTTTAAAACAGAACTCCACACCTCCCGCGACTAAAACAAAAAGGCTGCGTATTCACTCTAGATGAGGAAAAACCTGCAATCTTCGCAGACTACCCCTGTCTCCAGTACTCCTCACCTCCCAGCCCTCTTAACTATGCCGACTTTCACGAGCGAACCAACGTCGTCTCCCAAAACATCGTCTCAACTCTTTTCGACTTTAAACACACATTCTCCCGTGAAATCTTCATCACCATCCGATCTCTGAAAAGAAGAAAATCCCAAGCGCGGACGGAATTCGCAACGGTGTCCTAAAAGTTCTGCCATCAATACATATAACCGCACTTTGTAACAGCACAAACGCTTTCGTGCGGCTCCGCCATTTTCCTCCGGTCTGGAAAGAAGCCACCGTCATCTGTCTCCCCAAGAATGGAAAGCCCCTCAGCTCTCCCTTAAACTACAGGTCCATTAGCTTGCTCAGTTAGTTGAATCCATCCTTTTTGGACAAGCTTCGCCACCACGTGGAGCGAAACAACCAACTCCCCGACTTTCAACACGGTCTCCGCACACAGCACGGCACTAGCCATTAACTTCTCCGTGTTTCCGAACACATCTCTGACGACCTAAATAAGCGCCGTCACTCCTCCATGTTTCTGCTTGACATCTAGCAAGCCTTCGACCACACTAGTCGCCCTCACTTCCTAATCGGGGTTATCCGTTCCTTCCTCTCCGACAAAACCCTGCGTTTCTGCATTGGCTCTTCTTTACTCCCAAGCAAAACCGTCACGACTAGTGTTCCCTAAGGCTCCAAGCTGTTACCTCCTCTGTTCAATCTTTTTTGCGCAGACATGCCGTCGTCACAGCTCTCTACACCGATGACATCGCCCTCATAAACTCCCCTCAAACCATTCTCCAGTACTCTAGAAAAGTTTATTCATTCAGCCCCTGTTACTGAATTGGTACTCAAGATGGAAAGTCTCCATTAACGAGACCAAGTCGGAAGCAATTTTCTCCTCCCGTAGGATGCGAAAATTTCCTGCCATTACCGTTAATAACCACCGCATCAAATGGAGCAACTTCGGTACTTACCTCGGCGTCGTCTTCGGCAGGACACTGATATGACGAAAGCACATCCTTATCGTGTCAAGGCCCTAGCCGCCATTATTTCCCAAAGCAATTGCATCTTCCGTCAAACAAAAATCCGTGCTTTCAACGTAATTATCAGAAGCATTTGCTCCTGCGTCATCCTCATTTGGGGCTGTGTCGATTCCCACCGCCTACAAATTGTTCAAGGCACTTACATGCGGATTCTTCGTTCCGCACTCAACTATCCCTGGTTTATCAGAAACATCCAATTTCTGAAAGAAACTTGTCTACCTTCACTCCCCGAGGCTGCACTTAGATTTGCGGCTAATCTTCGGGTCTCAGTGTCAGGTCACCCAAACCCATCGATCTCGACACTTGCCAACTTCGCCGCTAAACTAAACTACTGTTTCATAATGTCCTGCTACCTTCTACTTTGAGCTGATTCCCTTCTGCTTATTCCTAGTTTCACTTTTTTAGCGTGAGTCTCCACCCAACTCATCAGTTCCCAATGCTTCCTTCCTGCGCCCATTCTGGTTCCCGCTCCCAACCTCTTCCCTTTAAACCTTTTCTGGGATGTATAACCGGGTTGGTCTCCATACTCAAGGAGGGGTTTTGGTCGGTAGGCGCTTCGGTGAATCCGACACTACCCCCATTCAAAGGGTGTCTTTTGAAAATTTCCCCTCAAGGAAAAACTAAACAAAAAAAAAATCGGACGAGTGTATTCGTTGGAGATACATTGCAAAGGACACTACGCCGCCTAGCACACCTTGTAATATTTACTGCAGTTGTCGACGAAACATCTGGTGAATCACAACGGATCATGGCCGATCAGTTCGGAAAATATATATACGTGGATTAACCGTAGTAATTTGTTAGGCAATTTTGCTTGCCGTTATTTAAATGCTTTAGTAAAGTTATTAAGCGTTAGTATACTATAATGGTGCGGTGAGTTTCCCACTCGCACTTCTCTGAAACTTTTGATTACTATGCGTGACGTAATTTGTAGAGGGTAGCATACTAATTCACCTTGACAATTACAAATTATGACAATACTTGGTTTCTAATTTTGGATGTCCCGTTGGTTTAACAGTAATAGATACTAAAATGACCGTAAGCTAGTAGTAATAAACGGTGATATTAGATTTGCATACATGGAATTGATTTAAAAGCTACAAAAGTATGCACCTTATCTAACAAAAGTGAATATTTTGATTTTCTACCTACTTCTGTTCTGGTGCTTCCATTGCGCTTCTCAAACATAGCTTTGTCAATGACAAGAGCAGTTTCAATGTATTTGGTGGCTTCTCGGACATCTCTTTTGAACCTTCCGTAGAGTGAAGTTGGAAAAAAGCCTGCATGCGCGTTAAGCCTCCATGCCATATTTCCTGAATTGGCGCATCCTTTGCTTACATTTGTTCTAGCTTCGAATATCAGGTGTGGATGTTTCTGCTGAAAAAGAGGAAGCTGTGCAGTCGTTTGCAGTTCTCAAAAATAATTTTTTGTACATCATTTCGAATCTAATCAGCATTGAAACAAGTATTTGCTTAGTTGGTATTATGAATGTAAACTATTTATCTTAAGGCGAAGTATGCATCAAGTTACTGTCTGAAGGCTGAAAGTAAATTGTCAAAAAGCTGATTGGCTGTCTAAATTGTATATGTTTTTAAGATGTATAAAGCATAATTTGTTAAAGAGGCAGAAGACATGCTATCAACATTCATATTCTATATGGCTGTTACCTTCCCGTTGAAATTAAAGTAGTACATTTTTGTCTTATTGTTTATAAAAAAAAGAAAAAAATACTACTACTTCAATGCATTAGGGAATTAACTTTTTTGAACTAAATTTACCCACTACACATAACCTCAAATTAATAAGGAAAAATTATTCAATTTCTAGCGAGGGAGTAACAGCAGCAACAATTGTTGCTGATTAATTTGAGGTTATCTGTAGTGAGTAAAGCTTAGATCATATAATGTACTGGACACGCTGTTCGTTTCGAATGTGGAAGCTAACATGCGCCGCCACGAATGACGTTAGTGAAGGGCAAAATATAATTATGCTGTATACTCGTATTTCTTATATGCGAGTATATTTAATTATATTAAGTGATCTACATAGATGATTGGCTTGAGGAGTTTCATAGGATATCAAGACTACAGTAGGTGTGTGTAAGAAGAAACAAATTGAATGTTTAAATAAAACACCAACACCAAATACAATGAAAAGCAACTCGACAACTTTTGCAACTCATTAGTTACACTTGTGTATTATTGAAAATGATCAAATAGGTCGAAACAATTAGTGGTTTTTTTATTCCTGTCTTTTATTTATATACAGGATGTGTTTCGCCATGCACCGACGTCATAAACGGTAATGCATGTTGACTTCAATTCTTTTGTATTAAAGAAGAGAGTAACAGCGTTTCCAGTATATTATATGATCGAAGGGGTAAAGTTAATTCAAAATAATTAATTCATTACTCCATTGAATTTAGTACTACAAAAATTAGAAGTGTGACATTAGAATACGAATTATACAAAAATTTAAAGCAGTTAACTGTCTTCTTTAATACTAGATGAATGCAATCGATATTGTTTGAAAAGTTGTTTCACATCAAGGTAACAATTTTTTTATAAAATTCAGAGTAGTTTATTGAAAATGCTGCAGAATACTGACCGAAAGGTCGCCTCCATGGAAAGGGTGTATGACAAATGTTTCATTCCCAACGTGAATAATTCCGCTCACCCCATTACAAGTTTGGAAAGCTGCTGTTGCTCCAGGATAGTCCTGAACCGTACCGTGATAGTAACAGTGTTCAATTTCCTGAAAACATCATAAAAAAAATGTTATAACTCTTGTATTGCATCAAATTTTAAGATAATTATTGTTAAGGTATGTTTACAAATTAAGTATTCCTAACAAATACATTAGATTCCTTAAATGTACGTAAATGTGTTACAAACCGAATTATACAGGGTGTTTCTAAAACAACTAACAACCTTGCAGGAGGTAATAGAACACTATAAAACAAGAAAACTAAATCAATGTTTCGCAAACAGGAAGTACACCGTTTTTGAGTATAAGGTATTTGAAAGTACAGGTAAAAGTCAGGGCGGTCCTGGTAGGATTATGTAGGAAAATGCGACAATTCAATGCCGCATTCAATCAGCTGGTAATTAGTAGCATTCGTGTTGCATTTCTTTTGTATTTTAGACTCATGCACTGCATGTTATTTGTTAGATTATATTGAGTGTAATTGACGATGTTGATGTTACAATTATAGTTTGTTCTTTTAACGTTGTAGTTGTAGTTATTTCAGTAGGTCAATGTACCACTGTCATAGCTTTGTGTAGAGCAGTAATTGTTACAACAGCATGTGACGGTGTACCAAACGCCACAGAAGAAGGCAAATGATTTCCACGATCGTGTGATTATCTCTGCAAAAGAAAATGTTTTCACGCAGGTCAGAAATAATTTTGATAGACGTCTCAAGCCTGTCTTCTAGTCCGATGTTGGAATTTCGAACAATTTTTCAAGATTCAAGATTTCAAGGCAAATCTGCGTCATTATTTTGTATATTCTTTATTATTTCCATCTTTCCATTATAGGAATCGTTTACTACTAGTGTATTATCTTTTGTTTTAACGTGCTTTAAATTTTGTGGTTTTCCTTTTCTCAAATTCTTTAGTACTTTGTAGAACAGATTTTCTGCTGTCTTGTTCTAGTTTTCTACCAAATTTATCGCAGGATAGTTGTTCTGCCTGTTTGATAATCCTTTTTGCTATAGTTCGTTGGTTTTTGTGTTCCCCATAACTTAGTTTTTTTCTATTTCTTAGTTACTGTTTCTTCTTAATTATAACTTGATTTTTTATTTTTAAATTCCATCATCTAGTTTGTTTCTTGTTTTCACCTATTACAATAACTCCACACATTTTTTTGGCTGTTGATAGGTTAATTTCTTTAAACATATACATTTTTCCACTTTACGCATTTTTGTTTCTGCTTCTAGCTTTTTCTTAAATTTATGTGCAACATCTACTTCTTGCAATTTATATGATCTGCTGATGACTCCTTTCGATTTTCTAGCGAGTATTTTTGTGTGTGGATTTTCTTATCGTTCAATGTTCATTCGTAATTAGCTACTAACAAATAGAGGTAAGGTACATTTTTGGTCCGACTTTAACATCTACAATCTCCTTTTTGAATGTTCTGTTTATGAGTACATAGTCTATTATGGATTTTTCGTTTCTACTTTTTATATCTCTTGTACATTTATCTGTCTTAGTGCTTGTAAAATGAATTAGCATCTATTAGATTGTTCTCCACACAAAATTATATTAATTGTTACCATTATTGTTTCTGTGGTTTTCTGCATATGGTTCGATTATATTGAAGGCTTCGTTTGTTTTTCCCAAAATTCATCCTTTATTTTTGATAATTCATCCTCCCTGGACTAGGTTTTTACTAATGTTGTATTAATTTGAAATAGACTTATTTCAACTTTCAAAATCTTTTCTGATACAAATTCCCACGTTTTATATTATTTATATGTTGTTCATTTATTGAACATCCCCTCTGCTGCGCTCCACTATGTGTTGTATTATCTTGTCCGTTTCCATTAACTTTTTCTTTATCATTAATTTGCTATCCTTGCTTGGATCCTTATATGTACAGCTTAACAGAAACAGCTTCACCCATGAGATTTCAAGGGAATGGCACCGGAGCAGAAGATACCAAGGAAGTGCATTAGGAACGAAGGAGATGCAGTTTGCCGCTTAATATTGGTGTTGTTTTTCAAATCGGACTATTATTGTATAGTAACCGACAGAATTTCGATTTCGGTTTCGGCAAGTTTCAGCAAAAAAAATCAAGTTTCGGCGCCAGTTTTGGTTTAGTCAAAAAATCTACCGAACTTTCGGCCGCACCGAAACTCTACATTCGTTAACTATCGCGCGTCGCTAGGTGCTTTTCTTAGTGTACAATATGAGAATATTTAATTAGCAATGGTAAAGTAAATTATTGATTAGGTAATCATACATTACTAACTGCAATTAAAAGATTTCAATGAATGTTAAATTTAGTCTCAATAATGTTGTGATTATAAACCCAATTGAAATACTCAATTAATGAGGTTCTTTTGCATAATGTAAGTATTGATTATTGACAAATTTTTGTTCTAAGAACTACTCATTAACATATTCGTTAATTTTTGGTGAGGTATTATGTCAAAAAAGCAAAAAAAGAAATATTTCCATTTTTGTTAATAGAAAAATTTTATTTTACTTCCTATAAATAAGCTGCAGCTAAACATAAAATGTCCTCCTTGTTCGAGGGATATCGGTCTAATAGATTCCGAAAAAAAAAGTTTTTTACAATTTTTCATTATTTTCTTGTCAGACGAAAAAATTAATTCATGGAAATAAAATTTTGTGTGTAGACTCGCGAATGGTACTTACAGAACATACCTGAAAGTCAAAATATTTAGAGCGGGAGCATTTTTCATATGCTTATCCGGCTTTGCACCTTAGCAGTGTATCACTACTTCTCGTCTCTAATCGAAAGGGTGTACAATTGCCGGACTGAGTTAGTCTATTGATAGGCTTGGGTCGTCGATTGGTTAATATAAATGGAGGCTAATTTGGATAACTGTTACTTGCAGTAATTCAGATAGAAATTTGTGATAAAATACAAATATAAGAAGTGGTTGAAACAAAATACAGCTATTAACAAATGGAAATAGTTCAAAAATTTCGGTTAGTAAAACAATTTCGACAGGCTCGAGAAAGTTCCCGAAAGGAAGCAAGGGAGTATTTAAAGGAAGAGACGATCGCCGAGTAGAGTAGAAATAAATAGACCGTTGCAGAAGTGAATCAAGAAATAAATTGACAGTTATAGAAGTGAAATAATTACCCATGCTAGTAATAATTTAATATTGTTTTTAAGTCCTTTAATAATAATTAGTGTAAATAAATAGTTTTTGTCGTTGTCGTTGTTTTAAAAGTTAAGCTGTTAAACCCACGAACATTACAATACTAAGGTATTGTAACGCAATCAAGCACTTTCCTCACTATTTCCAAATTTTATTTAACGATTTGCACTTTGTAATTAACATTACTATTGTTAATTCATCATTATTTCAACACCTTGTTGCTTCTTCGATCATTCTACTATACCTTCTGTCGTCTTGTAATTCAAACTGTCTGTTTTTATAGAGGCTTGCTATGTTCTAAAATGATTCAGAATATGGCGTCTAGAAAATCTGGTCTTCTCTGTCCCTCTTAAAACTGATGGTCCCGATTAGTGACGTCGCCTCTGCAGGGAGTAAGCCAGTCAAGATGTACGATCTTCATTTTTGCCCGAGGTCTCTTATGACTTCGTCGTTCCTTCCGCCTCGATAGATTGTATAATCATATTTTGTCGCCCTCATTAAATACAGTAATATTGGCTCGTCGATCGTATGTGGTCTTCATGATCCGACCGACGGTCACATTTAAATCGCGGCTTTGTACACCTAGTATAATGAATGGCTTCTAGTCGTCCTTGTAGCTATCCCGCGTGTTCACCTGTAATTACTGGAGAGTCTCCAGGACGGTCAAACGTTATGGCCGCTGGCAACTTAATTTTTCCTAAATAATATGTTTGCCGGCGTGCTTGTAATTGTCTCATGGATTTATGGGTTATAAGGAATAAGCTATGTGTCGGTTCTAGTCAGTTTGATGTTCGTTGACGACGCTTCATAGATTGCTCTCCAGAGTGGCGTAAAATCGTTCAACCATTCCGTCAAACTGCGGTTGCAAGGACGTAGTTCTCGTTTTTGTAATTCCGATTAGTTCAGTGAGTTTCATGAACAAAAGTGATTGGAAGTTTCTGCTTTGGTCCGAATGCCATTCCAATGGAACTCCATATCGGCTAATTCAGTCATTGGAAAGCTTCTCAGCAACGGTGTGCAATTCCTGATTCGATATTGCATATATTTTGTGCCACTTGCTAAAATAATCCATGATTACCAAGAAGTATCTATTACTGGAGTATGTCACTGAGAATGGCCCTGCTGCGTCGACTGCAATTCTCTCAAATGGCGCCCCCACGTTGTACTGCATTCACACACGACTTCTTGTCTTTGTCCCTTCCACATTTTCAACATTTTGGATTTCGTTCTCTAGAGGGGTAATCTCTATTTAAATGTGCTAGTCTTCCTCAGACAAATTTACCAGTTCCTCTACATTTTCAACATGTTAGGTTCCATTCTCGCGTGTTTCAAACAGTGTCTTTCTTCACATCGATTGCCCATTTCCTAATGAGTGACATAATACTATAAAACAAACAGAATAGCTCAAAACCCCAACGCCAAAACACGACACGTAGTTGTCCAATGCACTTTTCGGTAACAAAGTTACCTTCTTCAGGGACTGAAGTGAACTAAACCGAAATGAAAACTAATCCTAATTTTTACTGATAGTTGTTAAGGTTAGGTGAACATAGCCCAATGCCAACAAGGTTGATGTTCAATGAACCTTAACACTCATAAAGGTAATTAAACTAGACTAAATAGCGGTAGGCTAACCTCAGGAAGCGCTTCACATCGAACTCATGTTATTGAAGTCTTCTACCTGCTTGATTACGGCTTTTCAGTTGCGTGTGATGTACCTACTGTTTATGTCTATAGCCGTACCTAATTTATAGGCGGTTGATATGATGGTGAAAGTCATACTATTGAGATTCAGGCATTCCTAGGAGTATATACAGCGCCTCTCCTCGTAAAAAAATATCAGCTGTTGCTTTTTCCTGAAGCAGTCCATGTGTTTGAATCTGTCGCTGCTCCAAACTGCTTTAAGTAAACAAACCACAAGATCTTTCTATCAAAACTTGGAGATGTAAATTTTGCACCGGACTTGTCGATTCTCGCAATATTAGGCAGCCTTTCAATTTTTTGTTTCATTTCTTCAATTCGCGCCTCCACAATTTCTTCCATCTTCGTATCTAACCTTAACTTCTTTTTCTTCTAGCTTCCTGTTCATCCTAATCTCCCTTTCTCCTATTTTCTTTCCTTTCTCGCCCATGCATCACTTCTTGTACGTTCTTTATTTCTGCCTTCATTTCCGTCTGTATCAGTTTCATTTCATCATGTTCCTTTTCGATCTTTTTGTGTACCTTCTTCCCATTAATGCCTTTATTTGTTCCTTTATTTTTGCTTTGGTAGCTTTGGTTGTAACAGGCATGCCATTGCCTTCTAGAAAATTTAATGAAAATCTTGGATTTCAGTCAGATTGTTCTTATTCCTTCGCGAGCTTCCTAACTTGGTATACCGTGATTAGCATGGTCCTCGTATTTAATTCAGATAGATTTCATTTTCTGAGGGTACTTAAAAGGAGAATACAAGGTTAAACCAGATTTTGCAAAATGTTAAAGACGCAATTTACGCTCGCTTCGGACATTGCGAAATTCAAAGCGGTCGTCAATTTGGGTGTTTACTTTAAATCAGTAGCTATTGTATTTTTCTACATCAATGATATTGTAAATTATTTGTAAATTTTATAATTTATCGGCGACAAGAATTACATTACCCTATAATAGAAACTATAGAAACTATGTCAATGTTCACCATAAGTAAGACCTGTGTGACTGCAGTAAATACATTCAGCGTAAATTGCACTGCTTTGTGAAAAAGGAGCGTTGGCCATATTAGTACTATTGCGTTATTTGGCACAGGTGCCTTAATAGAAAAGTTATATAAAATCGTATATTCAATCACTTTTGCAACATTTTGAAACTTTCGTAGATACACTAATAAGTGTGCTTCCTAAGTTAATTTTAAATGAAATGGAAATATGTCCAAATAATTAAATATGTTGTAACGGTCGTTCTAAAATCTACTCGTTTACGTATCCATTCTGTAAAAAACTGTTTCTGTTAAATAAGGTTTCAAGGGACTTACCTGCTTAGAAACTTGTTCTGCTCCATTAGCTAAAAAATGCTTCTGCATGATGTTAGGTGCCAAAAGTTGCCTGAAATAGAAGAGATAATTAAAGATGATGCAATGATACTTAACACTTATTTTTAGCAAAATTCTTTACCTTTATTATCTATATAGTTGAAAGGTGTAACTTTTAATTTATTTGTTATCGAAAAACGATGTATATAGATAATACTCACGTGTTTAATTCCAAATCCAGTCTAAACTTATGGTTGAATGCTTTGATTAAGAGTGAAGTGCGATGAAAATGTTTTCCGGTCTGAAACAAGAAAAGTTATTATTTTTTATAATAGTGAGCTGCTTTAGCATATTTTCTTGAAAAAGGAAGCTTCATAATCAGATTCAATTTCAAAGCCGGATTTACAATATAGGCAATTTTTGGTCACCTTTTTATCTACTGAAGATAAGATCAGACAATACACAAAGAGTGCTATGGAAGTTAATAATAAATAGCGGAGATGGGTAAGTTGGACACCTCCATAGACATGGAATACTACTTACAAAGATCTTACAAGCAAGAGTTGAGAGGGGCAGAGGTAGAACTAGAAACTAAGTTAAGATGATGGTACTCTTTGTCAGTGTTGCATAGCACTTACCATTTTAATGTAGGGTATATTTTAAGAATATATATATATATATATGCAAGCGACTACATACACGAATTTAATGATCATGCCACCGTATAACTGTGAATATCGTTAGTTTATAATCATTCTTGTGGTATTATAAACTGACGAAACATTATGAACTGCAACCAATCTGCATGACTCATAATCTGTCTGGATTTATCACCAGTAAAATTGTGAACCGTTCATGACTGGTCGGTCTCGGCGGTAGCTCGTTCTATATCCATAGAGTTACGAAACAAACATAGGAGACAAATAAACAAAACTCACAGTTGATTGTTTAATATCACGTATCTCATTTACTCATTGGTGTAAAAGACACAGTTGAATATCCGTACATTGACGAAGTATTAACTTTTTGAGTAGGTTTCGAGAGTAATAAAGGATAGACTTCTTTAAAATTAATCTTTATTAATAACATTAACACAACAGAATTCTAAAACGTGGACTAGCGGTAAGAAATTAACAGAGCAAGATGATATGGTCATGTGACATGTCTGAACGGTAAAACGAGAATGTTCAACTGCTGGACTGAAAATATGAACTTGGAAAATAAAATCAATATAGAGCAAGTATAACACGTGCAAAATGCGTGTATGATAGGTGGCTTCTTAATCACAAAAGTTGCACCGCACCTTCTAATTGTCAATGGTCAGGCCACACTTGATACTTCAAAGGGATACCCATTAGCGGATTTCAAGCCGACCAAAAAATATTTACAATTCTCGTATTTAAAGTAGTTGCTAGTATCCCTATGTACATAAATGAAGAGTGAGGTGTGAGTCTAAATAACAACACATTTAAACATTCATCATACCAATTGCCACTGCGCATGGATTTATCAGAACTGTACTCTCTAGTTGCACGCGAGGTAAAGGTGTTTAAGTAACGCCTCACACTTCTTAATACATATACACTTTATTGAAAACCTATAGTTATTTTCTACTTACATATCTGAAACTCAATATTAACTTACCTACAGTAATAGCAAGAAAAGATAAAAATAATAAAAATTACACCCCTCCCAATCGTGATCCCCCCTCCATCATTTGGACTAAACCTTATATTTTTTTATTTCACCCATCACCACTCCCTCTTAATGTTCGCTTACAACTATTCAAATTTTTACTTTCCCTACAACTGCGTCAATTACGTCTACATCCTTCATTTCATTCAAATAATCCGGCACACACTCCCTGTCAATGCTCCCATAGAAAAGCCTTCATTCATTTCACAAATCTCGACTCATCAGTACTTCTTAGATCTTCTCCCCTTTCATCTTATCCTCACTATTTTTTCAACACATACCCCCATTCTTTCCCATTCATTCAATTGTTCCTAATTCAACTTTGAACCGTATAAGGCTTCATCCCTTTCTTTGTCATACCTGCTTTCTGCTTCATTTTTTAAAATTATTATTTTGCCGTTGTTATTCTCTCCCATAACCTTTTTTCTCTCTTTCCTTTTCCATCTTATCTCCTCTTTTTCCGTTCCTTATCTGCTTCTTCTTTTTCCCAAATTTCATATATTTAGTCTTACTAACATATACCTCCAAATTCTTCTTTCTTAAGTGTCTTCCCAATGTTTTCATTATATCTTTCAACGAACTATGACTTATAAATATTGGAACAACGTCGTCAACATAAAGCAAGATCCAGATTTGTTTCTGCCTATAACTACCCCTCCCTCCTTTACTTTACTAAAGTCTTTCTCTAGGTCACTTAAATATATATTAACCTTTCGTCGGTCGCAACCTTAGTATAAAGAAAACCAGTCGCAATGTATCAGAATGATACACTAAAATCTTGAGATATTCGTAGAAGGTTTAGAGCTTTTGTATAAGGTTTAACGTGTATATGTTTTATTGTTTATTCTTTTGACAATTGTTATTTGTGAAAATTATAAGTTAAAGTAATAATTTCCCAGAAAAATACCGGCAGGTATACAAAAATAATGAATTTCGACTAAAAAACTTAAATATATATTCAAAGCAACAAATAAATCATTTTCTCTTGTAATACACAGAAAATTAAGCTAGTATTTATAATCAAAATTAAAAAATAACTCAAACATAAATAGTTATTGCGCTCCTAATACAAAAATAGCCTTAGTTATCACTATTAGAGTCATCCAGCAGATGAAGCTGTGGGTAACATTCGGTACACACTGCAGTTGTGTGTTGGCCGCAGATGAAACGCTTACATTTATTGCAAGTAGTTTTGGTCAATCTAGTTATTCGTAATACGAAACACAAGACACAGCGACGGCGTTTTGTTGGAGTTGCTACATTTTTCGCCGATGGTCCAGCTTCCTCAATAGTGTTTCCTGGTGACTCAAATCTTTTAAGATCTTCAGCAAGAGGACGGGGTAATCCTTGTTTTTTTAGACCTCTTCTTTGAAGATGTGGTAAGGCTAATTCATGACCGAGCTTCCGAAGAAAACCCTGACGTCGCATACACTCCTGTCCATTACCGATAGAGATAACTTGCGCATTGATACCAGCAATGTTCAACATAGCAAAAAAAACTACCATCGGCCAACGGCGTGTGTTTCTGGCAACGTTGTAGGATGAGCAGAGTTTATCTACAACATCGACATCTGATTTGGTCTTATTATAGTATGTAATAATCTCCGGTTTTACTGCCTCTCCCGATGTTTCATCTATGGTATCATCGTAATGTTGAGAAGATACAACAACATTTCGATTCTTTTTTGGCACGTAAGAGACAATTGTGCAATCTTCTCCATAAGCAAACATGCTTGACTGTAGTGGTCGGCCCTTCACATTTAGAAGATCGACTGGCAATTCCTTTTTATTTTTTTTTACCAATGACGTTGCACCGACCTGCAAATTAACAGCCCCATCGTAAGAGAGCGCTCTCCTTTTTTCCCCGAGTATATTCTTTTTTTTTTTCAAAAGACGGTATCATCACCTTCACTACTCGTACTGGCACCTTTCATTACAGATTATTAACGCATGTAACGATTTTTTAAGAGACCAGTAGTCTGACAGTGCAAGAACTTAATAATTAAATCCCAAGAAGCTTGAATATATTAAACTAAAACCGACAGTAATGTATACGATACGCCAACTTACAGTCCTCAAAATTTTTATAAGGACAAAGGAAGGAAGAATTCGTTCTACGATTTGAACCTATGTATGACAAATGACAATCTATTAGATTTTAACTCGGTAATCAGTTTTATATCTGAGAACCAATTGTCAGCAGTAATGTTTCGCCCAGTACCATATATTGGTTGAGCTAATCTTTTAACAACATCTGTTGGTTTATTACTCAGCTCAAAGGGACCCTCAGGTTGTCTGCCAGAATATATTTCTAGGTTGTGAGTATAAAACGTGACTGCATCACATATAGCATAAATTTTCACTCCGTGCTTGGCAGGTTTGGAAGGGATATATTGTTTGAACTTACAACGCCCACGAAAAGCTTCGAGCTTTTCGTCTATTGTTACATTCTGCCCAAGTGAATAGCTACGTTTACAATTGTTGACAAAATCCTGGAAAAGACCACGAATTGCCGCTATGTTATCAATTGCTTTCCTTTCAGTTCTTGTGTGGCGGTCATCAAAACGCAAGCATCGAAGAAGAAATTTGAACCTCTTGAGACTCATAACCAGTCGAAATATTTCGACGCCATGTCCATCTGTATCCCAAAGATCTTCAAGCATCATTCTGTTAGCGTGTAATGTGCCAGAAATATATAAAAGACCTATGAAGGCTTTCAGTTCCGTAAAATCTGTATCATTTGCGTCACGTTCTCGGCCAAATCTTTCCCTTACTTCAAGACGAATGTAATGATTTGTATGCTCAACAATTGTTTGTAGCATTTTGTCGGAGAAAATATTACTCCAACATTGTATCGGTAATTTAGCTTCTCGTGCTTCATGGATTACTCCTGGAAGACGTGTGACAATATTATGTGACTCACGTCGTCGTCTCTTCGGGCGAGGATGTTTATTCCATTTGGAGGTTTTGTCTCCTCCAAGATAGAATAAATTATCGTACGAGACAGGTTCTTCATCTGTCCCGCTATCCTCAGATTCAGAACTGCCAACCCTTGTTTCTGCGGGTTCCTCTTATGCATCAGTGTCCGGTTCATCCTCAAACTCTTCCTCTTGAAAAGGATAGTCTTCAGTTACGCACAAAAAATTTTTAATCAATTCTTCATCCCGGGGATTATTTAGATTATACACACGATCCTCCATTATTCTGAATAAACCAAAACACAAAAAAAATATAAACAAAGCCTGTTAACACAACATTATAATACGCTTACCTATTAAGTCGCAATGTATCAGTATGATACACATATGCTCACAGTAACACAACCCCAGACAACAGAACGTCGATGCCACAACTGATAAAAACATAAGATCGACATAGGAAGGTACTGTGAAGGCGAGACACACCCATCTTCGTTTAGAAAAATGGCGGGGAAAATAAACGTGCTTGTACCACATTGATACACAGGCGACTGACGGAGGGTTAAACAGTTAACCTTTTTCCACCCAAAATTTCGTTGTCTCCCCACCACTTAATGATACAACCCCTCATGTTTCCCTACATATTTCCATTATTCTACCTATTAATCCTTTTTCCTTTTTGGATGAA